CCTGGTGCGCTTCTCCGACCGAGAACTCTGCTAAGCCCCGCTGCAGAGACAGGCAGGAGTAGACACCCGGACACCCAGCACCCCTCCTCGGGGGCGGTGCAGAGGGGGCGCGGAGAGCCGCCCTCGAGTGCTGCAGGCCGCCCCGCCAGCATGGCAGAAGCTGAGGAAGATTGTCATTCTGATACTGTCAGAGCAGATGATGATGATGAAGAAAATGAAAGTCCTGCTGAAACAGATCTGCAGGCACAACTCCAGATGTTCCGAGCTCAGTGGATGTTTGAACTTGCTCCAGGTGTAAGCGCTAGCAATTTGGAAAATCGACCTTGCAGAGCAACAAGAGGCTCTCTCCAGAAAACAGCAGCAGATACCAAAGGAAAACAAGAACAGGCAAAAGAAGAAAAGGCTCGAGAACTCTTCCTAAAAGCAGTAGAAGAAGAACAAAATGGAGCTCTCTATGAAGCCATCAAGTTTTATCGTAGGGCTATGCAACTTGTACCTGATATAGAGTTCAAGATTACTTATACCCGGTCTCCAGATGGTGATGGCGTTGGAAACAGCTACATTGAAGATAATGATGATGATAGCAAAATGGCAGATCTCTTGTCCTACTTTCAGCAGCAGCTCACATTTCAGGAGTCTGTGCTCAAACTGTGTCAGCCTGAGCTTGAGAGCAGTCAGACTCATATATCAGTGCTGCCAATGGAGGTCCTCATGTACATCTTCCGATGGGTGGTGTCTAGTGACTTGGACCTCAGATCATTGGAGCAGTTGTCCCTGGTGTGCAGAGGATTCTACATCTGTGCCAGAGACCCTGAAATATGGCGTCTGGCCTGCTTGAAAGTTTGGGGCAGAAGCTGTATTAAACTTGTTCCTTACACATCCTGGAGAGAGATGTTTTTAGAACGGCCTCGTGTCCGGTTTGATGGAGTGTATATCAGTAAAACCACATATATTCGTCAAGAAGAACAGTCTCTTGATGGTTTCTATAGAGCCTGGCACCAAGTGGAATATTACAGGTACATAAGATTCTTTCCTGATGGCCATGTGATGATGTTGACAACCCCTGAGGAGCCTCAGTCCATTGTTCCTCGTTTAAGAACTAGGAATACCAGGACTGATGCAATTCTACTAGGTCACTATCGCTTGTCACAAGACACAGACAATCAGACCAAAGTATTTGCTGTAATAACTAAGAAAAAAGAAGAAAAACCACTTGACTATAAATACAGATATTTTCGTCGTGTCCCTGTACAAGAAGCAGATCAGAGTTTTCATGTGGGGCTACAACTATGTTCCAGTGGCCACCAGAGGTTCAACAAACTCATCTGGATACATCATTCTTGTCACATTACTTACAAATCAACTGGTGAGACTGCAGTCAGTGCTTTTGAGATTGACAAGATGTACACCCCCTTGTTCTTCGCCAGAGTAAGGAGCTACACAGCTTTCTCAGAAAGGCCTCTGTAGAGCCTCAAGTCCAGTCCTCTATCACTTTTGCATGAATAAAAGTATATAGTGCAAAAGAGCACCTAAGTTATAAATGTACATATATATATATATGAAATTGGAACTTATTTTAAATTGTTGGAGTTCTTTTAAGAAGAGTATAAATTGATTATTTTTTTTATTTAAAGGGATAGTTGATTCTTGGGGTGTTTTGAAATTAAGTTGGAATTATAAGTTGCTTAAGCATATTTATGTTGTGAGAAACCTTAATAAGAGGTTTATCATGCCCTTTTTCAAGCAGATTTTTGAGCAGATTTCTGTCACATAAGTTGTCTTCTGCCTGAGCATTCTAATATTTAAATGCCTCAGGGGAGCGCTCCACTGGATAAGCATTTTATTTCCTGCATGGCATAATGTCTTTGCACTAAAGGCTCAAAGTGTGAGAACCTTTTCTGGATTTGTTTGAAATTGTTTCACCAATAAAGATCATAAATAAATGTTTCTTTCAAGAAAATATATTTGGGTGGCCTTTTAAAAATAACAGAACATTTCATAAGATTCCTAGATAGCAGCAGAGACTTTAAGAATCATTGTCCCTAGCTGGGTGTGGTAGCATATACCGATAGTCCCAGCTGTTTGGGAGGCTGATGCAGGAGGATAGCTTAAGTCCAGGAGTTGGGGAGTTTGAGTTCAGCACAGGCAACATGGAAAGACCCCATCTCTTAGTAAAAGAAAAAAAATCATTTCCTCATTTTATCATTGGTCTTTACATGTAGGCACAGACACTAATCTCATCTAGGCACCTTACCAATACATGACATGAAGTGAGAGTGAAGCCCTTAGGACTGGAACACTTCAACAGTTTCAGCCAAATGACTCATTTATCATTCTTCACAAAAGAATAGTAAAGGATCATTTAAACCTGCGCCTAACTCT